CAACATTTGGCTGCAACTTGTTTTTTTGCATGCCTGCGAGCCAGTCATGTACTGTATATCCAGTAGGCCCAGACAAGGTCACCATCACCACATTTCCAGTCATTATCTTGTTCCATGAGTTCAGCCTTTATGCAGTTTTATATCCTCTGCCGTCCAGACCTCATCGCCTCGGACCAGAATGATTAATGTGGTTATCTCTGGGAGAAAATAGCAGAGGACAGCAAGAGTGATGTATGGTAGTTTTGACTCTGGTGGCATCTGCCCTTCCTTGGAGGCAAATGCCAATTGAGGAAACCCTCCTTTCTCATTATTTGATGTCTAAGTTCTTCTTGGCTGTATATGAAAGGAGTTGGTATCGAGCCCATCTGTCGAGCCCCTCCAGCTAGACTGAGCTCCCTCCGCTCAGCCTGCACCGTCACATAGCACAAGAATATTGGTTTGGTTTGCAATAATAATAATAAACTTTATTCATACAGAAGTTTTTTAAAAACGAGTTACCAAGTGCATTACATGCTTGAGCCAGGGTTGAAACATTTCAAGACTGAGGAAGATTGAATCAGGTTATTAAACTAATGGAGACATAAAATGAAATAAAACCCCCATCAGTAATTACAAATGATAAAAAAGATAAGACACTTTAGCAATAAAGTAAAAGATTGGAGGATTCTTTCAAGCTTAAATGGACAAACCAGTTATTCTTGATTGGTCTATCAGAGTTATAAACTATGTTACAGTTGGTAAGCGTAACCAGTCACTACATAAGACATTTTTCACTGCAGGAACTTGCAGATTGTTTTATCATCAGATCATCTGTTTTCAGAGGGGAAAAAAAGTACAGACTCCAGTTTAAGTACTTCTTAGTGGCCCTGAAAAACTGATGTGGGCGTGTCAAAGCTGATCGATTAAACTCAGAGAGGACAAGGAATATTCACTCTTGATGTCCTCATTGAGTAGATGTCTCCTGCTCTCAAACATCATCATCTTGGCCGTAAAATTCACAGATTAACAAGTCTCCAGTGTTCCATTTCCTATGTTCACATAGAACTGGAGTTACATCCACTAACCAGCATTTGTCATTGTTTTTTCTGCACTCTTGAGTTAACGTTGTGGTCGAAGCTGTCGGGTCTGACCTATGATGGAGTAGGAACAGAGCTTGTACTTAAGCATCTCATAGGTCTTAGTGTAGTTTTCCCCATTGCCCTGAGCAAGTCACTGCCTTCAAGGCTAAAATTCAGGGAACAAACGTTTTATCATTCTGTGACAATAAAATGACTGACTGCAGCCTCACTGTGCAGGTGAATCGTCCTGCACAGAGGTGAGTGTTAGCTGCGTACCTGAGTGTGTGCACCGCTACACCTCTGACTTTGAAGTCACGTTTCTGGCATCTAGCAAATGCAACATCCAATATTCTCTCCGCTCTGCCTCAACTAGCTCCTCATAAATATATCTAGCTCCTGAGCAACTATGTTTTCCAGATAATTGCAAATTGTGTCTGTTTGGTGCTGGGCAGGTACTGTACAATCATCAGAGCTTTTTTTGTAGCTGGAAACAGCTGCATGTTGCCGCTGGAAGCATGAATAATAACAGCCATAACAGCGAAACGCAACAGTAAAATAGTGGGCTGTAAAATGAAAGGAACGAACTGAAAGATGCAGAAATGCCCAGCAGAGCTGAAGCGAGAGGTGGTAATTGTGTGTGACTGTCACTTTCACTCACATTTGATCTGTTGTTATTATAAGGTTATTGAGAAGTGCAGATGCAGCAAGTAGTTATTAAAACGACTTTCTTCACTTAATATGACTGTGTTTATCTTAAAGCCGCTACAGCGATGCAGATGGAAGTCACTACAAGGAGCATATCTAGGGTTTTATATTATTATGGCACAACGAGAAGAGAGGAGCAGGAAGTGAGGCTTGAAAGTAAAACCTTAACGTACACCAACACCTTAACGTACACCAACACCACCTTAACGTACACCAACCACCTCTGCTGTGGAATCTAAACAGTACGAGGCTGTCCGAGCACTGTACAGCTGAAGCCTGCGGTCGATGACGGTGTAGACCCGTGGCGTCTGGAAAGAAATGGCTGTTTGTTAATTACCTCTTACTGCATGTGTACTCACAATACTGTGTTTGTGCATGTTTCCAATGACAGACCGAAATGTGCTGCACGTTTTTACCGTGGAAACCCTTTGATACGTTTGGCTTTAAAAGCCAAAAACAGTTGCAAAGCAGGCGGTCATGGTGTTTAATCTTAATAAGGTGATTCACTGCAAAAATGCTTGAGCAGTCTGGTGAAGATTTACAAGCAACCTGACAGACGTGAGTGGTTACTGGACGGGGGAGCTGAGGGTCTGTAGCTGCAGGTTATGTAATACAGGAAAGGCAGTTTCTGTACAGATGTGATGCATGGTCTGTTTGCATTACATCAGAATGTATATGTATGTATGGTCTCAAATGAATGAACCAGATAGACCAAAAAAATGTTTAAATTACAAATCAAGGCAAAAGTTTAGAGCCCCCCAGGGAAATTACATACATTCTTTTCCTTTAAAAATGTTAGTACACTGTTGATTTTTATTATTTAAATAGAAAATACATTTACAGCAATCGTGATGTGTAAAAGTCTAATAAAGTATCAGAAGTTCATGAACTTTTCGGCCTTCCTGGCTCGTGAGGACTTGTGACTCCTCAAATCTTGTGGTAACATTCACTAACTAGTGCCTACAACACGGATAAAAAAAAAAAGAAAGAAAAAAGTCTGAAATAGTATGAAGACGCTGGGAAGCTGTGGAAGTTAAGACAAGAACAGGAACTTCAAGGGCAGAAAGGCAAAACAAAACCATCCTATGATGGCAGAGGAGCTGCAGGAAGGCTTAGCTGACAGAGGAGTGATGGTGCAGCGTTTCAATGTGCACCACTAATGTACAAACATGGTCTACATCAGAGGGGAGCCTTATCTGTCACCTCATCACAAAAGTCAACATCTGACGTCTGCAAAGCAACACCTGGGTAAGCCAGTGTGGTTTTAGACACAAGTGCTGTTGATAGATGAAGTTAAGCTGGAACTCTTTCACCAAAAGAACCAAAAAATAAAAGCATGGAGGTGTAAATATTTTTCTTTGGGGTACCGGAAATAATGTGTACGTTTACATGCATACTTACATAGTGGTGTGTGTTACACATGTACGGCCAGCTACAAACTGTGCGATTTTAACAA